CAAAACCCAAGACGTAATAAGTAACGTAATGTTTAAAAGTGGTAATTTTGGAGGTTTGTACAATTCTGTTTTCGCTTCTCTATTAAAATGCCAAAATTAAAATGCCCTGCCCATCTTGCAGAGAAACATGTATTCTGATCATGTGTACACTCGAGAAATTCTACTGAGAACTCAACTCTGTTATAATTGCCTGAGTGGAGAGCTGGCTTAGGAGGGTGGGGCCACAGCCCTGCGCTTCACTGTTTTCCCCACTCTGTTCGCCAATGCAGATAAAAGAGTAAAGTTACATTTTCCTTTAGGTTTCTAAGGTGAAACGGGAACACTCGATTCTGTGCTACCCAAAAAAACAAAACACCTTTCCACCTGCCAAATCTGATACCAAAAGTTAACGAGCTCTTGGAACTCTGTTTCTACAGAAAATGCATTAGCAGGAATTCTAACCAAAAACCCATTATACCCACGCTGAGACGAAAACTCTGCAAAGTCTTCTCTCCAAAAAAAAAAAAAAAAGCTTCATTTTAATACTAATAATTCTAAAGGAAGTAAAACATTAATTATCAATTACATTTTTTATTTTTCTGGATGGAAGAAGGAAGTAATCGAACATGGAGATTTTCCTCCCGTTTGACAGCCAAACAGTACAATGCTACAAGTCAAAACACTGCATGAACGGCCAATCTAATTAAACCAACCCAAAGGATAAAACCCCAGATTGAACAAAGGATGATTAAACAACCGAAAGGCTACGCATTCTGTTTTTCTTTTAATGCATCCTGCATTAAGAGCCAACGCTGCCAATTAAAAAAAACCTGGATATTCTAATGATATATTTTCATCTTAGTATACAAACAAAGCAGAAAAGGTAATCAAAAGTGCAGTCTTAATATCGTTTCAGGATTAGGATGCTGTTCTTGTTATTTTACTGCGTAATTGAAAACACTACAGCACTACAGTTGGTAATTATCTGTGAACAAATCTTAAATAAAGAGGGAAGAAGCAGTTCTTGGTGACTGGAGTTGAGCTAGCAATCGAGTTATCAAAGGAGCACATTTCTCAAAAGGTACGGGCTCTGTTTTCAGAATACTACGAGTTTATTTTTTTAATTTAAGTGCACCCATTTTAAAGATTGTCTTTCCTGTATATACTCATGGTTTCAAAAGAGTAAAGCACCAACAGAACGACTGGATTTATTAGCATCTTTCCTTAACGGAGCTTCAAACATCCTTGATGTTTACCATCTCATTTACCTGCGGTGGCCTGGGACACAGAAAGGAGAGGATTATAATCACTCCCATTTTACAGGTGGAGAAAGTGAGAACGAGGGATTACTATAGTCACGACGACTCATTAAGATCAGCCACTAGAGACCTGGTTTCCTCCTACGAAGTACTATTTTTGTAAACGATTCCCTTTCAATGAAGGAAACAGAGCAGGTCACGTGACTTTCATTCAGGAACAAGTGCGCGTGTTTCATTAGCACCTTACTCACTGCTCCTGGGAATCGGGCAGGGCCAGTGCACAATATCTTATTATGACAAGAGCTAGCCAACCAGAGCAGAATAGCAAACACGACAGAAAAAAAAGAGAGGTTCTGCGGTTCATCAAGCGATCTCACTGGATTTCTAAAAGTATTCAAATCCGCTGCTTCAAGATTTAAATAAGCAATACTTTTAAACGTAAATCATGACTTTGTCATTCCTCTGGAAACATTTCTTTTGTCCCATAATTCCCTTACCGTATAATACGCGCTGATAGGCCTTTCATCAAACGGAATTTAAATACAGACGCTTTCGGTGGTAATTTTTATCTCATCTCTTATACACATATATAAATCAATTCTAGAATAAAAATCCCACTAAAGAGAAACGCTAAACGAGCATATTTTTATGATGTAAACCAATCTACAATCTTAACACGCAAATATTAAGCGAATTTTTAAAGCATAATGCCTTTAGTGACATATTTCCAGATAGCAGACGACAACAAAAAGCTCACACGCTGGTGAGAATTTTCTGTACACACTCACGAAGCACACAGTGAGTAATCTTCCGCCGTCCCCAAGTAAGCTGCACAGTTTGCAGTTAGATTTGTATTTGGTTTGGACCAATAGAAAAATTATATACGTAGGCTGCACTCACTTTTTAATTGGCTTTAGACTCTAAACCCCACCCCCGTTCCCGAGTCTACTGGAAACAACTATCAAAGATGACTGGAACCTTCCCTCTGCTACCACTTCTGCAAATTCTTAACACCCCCCCCCCCATTATTTTGCTGCCACATAACTGATTAAGCTGGTCCATGCTGAGCACGAGGAGCTCTACGTGGGAACATATGCCACTTCTAAGAGCCAGGGGAAAGCAGGCAGCAATCAAGGAAGTCCTTTTTCTAGTTCATCTTCAAAGAAATGCTTTGCAGGTCTTGCTACTATAAATCATTCTCTCAAAGGACACTTATCTACTGTGAACTTTCTATTTATAAGCACCAAAGTACATTCCTACACACATATGGGAGGTAAATAAACGTGGATGTTCATTCTGAGTTTCTCAATGTGCTCTTTCTGGCTCCCAGACCACAACTTCCGTGCTACGTTGATTAAGAAAGATGATATACTTGCCTTCCCTGTTCTGCTGTTCTTTGTGACCGAGCTCGTTTGCTAGACATCCATCTAACATTTACCTTCTTTAAAAATAAAAATAAGACAGAAACTGTGCCTTTGCCTCACTCGATCAACTGCAGTTACCTATGCTGCTTAAAAACAGCCATTTTCCTTTTGAGAAAAGCATGTTTACAGTAATACCCACACGTACTCCGGAAAAGCAACAGCCAAAACGATCACTCATCTTTGTTCAGCAACCACGGAACACACAAAATGCTGTTTTGATTTCGGAATCGCGAATCCTATAGGCTGAGAGCAATTTTATGCTGGTGGGAACTCTCCAACGAAACAAGCTAAATCAGGCCTCTAAATAAACTTAGCTCCGGCAGTTGAAAACGTTCACGAAAAGGGCATTACGTCATACATGAACCACATTTCTCAATGTATCTACTTTATCGGAAGGCCTTTGAATTCTTTCAGGCCTGCAGGCACAGGCGCCAAGCGCTTAGCCTTTCTGGGGCCCCACCTGAATCCAGTCCAGGTTTTTGCCGCCCGTTCCACCCAAAAACAACCAGGAAAAGGTGTCATGTTCTCAGACGGTTTTTCTCACTAGAAGCAGGCTTGGACAAAATGTAGTCACTTGCATGGCATACACGCGTCTGGGCACACCAAATGAGCACGCGCATCTGTGTTTTCTCCACTCAGACATACCTGGGCTGGTGTGTTTATACGGTCTAAGCCTTCAACAGCAACTCCCTGATGTGTTAACAGTTTCTCAGTCGTCCCAGTGGTGTCCCAAGCACAGTGACCTTCAGTTGAGAGTCTTCCTTTAAGGGATGCATTCTGACAAGTCCCAACTGATTTAATGAGACGCTGACAATGCTGTACTCCTGATAACTCTGTGACTCTTTTCATGTTTTACTCGATGGTTTGCATAAAAAGGAAATAGCTTTTCCTCTGTTACAGTAGAATATTGGGGGATTTACCGTACAGCTATCATTTCAAATCCCATGAAACAACAGTCCCACGTATACAATAAAACATACTCTAAATTTCAATAACAATTAAACTGGTCTGTTCCTCTTCAGAACAAAAGGCATATGGATCCCCAAGCCAGCTCAGTCATCACTTTGTAAAGCCTGGCCAACTGTCTACCTGAGACCAGCATCTACTGCTGCATCCAAACAGCACTATTGCTACTATGTGTTTTATGGCCCCCAAGAGCCTCCACCACCCAACCACTAGTAACTCAGCAAACAAACCGCTACAGAACTGAAGAAACAACTCTCTGGAATTGGATATTCGTCTCACTTAGACCCCTCCTTCCTCCCCCACCATGCAAAGTTTCCGACAACCAGGATGCACTGCGGGCTGCAAAGCAAACACACACCTCTCGCCCCATGGGCGTCGGATGAGAACCTGAGCACTGTCACGTTCAGCTGTTCCCAGAAGGACCAGGGGTCTTCTCTCTCCCTCCTTCCCTCTCCAACACTGATTCTGACTCCGGGTTGCACCTTAAAATCACCTGGAAAACTCTGAAAACCGTGGCTGCACCGGCTCTACACCTCTGATTTTATAATTGTTTTTATTTTTTTAATGTGTCTTTGGTGAGGTCCAGGCAGATAATTTCTCAAACCTCCCAGCGATTCTAACACCCAGGCAGAGTGCTCCAAGGAAGGTCCCCAGACCCGCAGCATCAGCATAACCCGCAACGTTTAGAAATGCCAACTGCTAGACCTATGAATCAGAAACTCGGGGGGTTTAGAGAAGCCAGAAAGCCATGTTTTAACAACCAGATTCCCACATCTGTTCACAGTTTGAGAACCGCTGCTCTAAAGCGTTGCCATTCTATCCCTTTCAGAGAAAAAGAATCTGTCTGATGGAAACGCTCTTATAGTTCAGATGTGAAATTTAGTAAGTTGACACCCGGCAGAATGGATGTTCATTACTGACACGAATTTCAGGGTCTGTTTTTATAAACTCTGAGGCTGGTTTCCAGCTAAAGGAACTGAAAGAGAAAGGTGAAGACCACAGCCTCGGGGAGCAGTTAACACCTTGATGCACCTCCCTCAGGAACTTTCTCCGCTCCAGAGATCAAGAACGCCATGCTTAGCCACCTCTCGTTCGCCTACCTGAGCGGACCTTCCATGATGTCGACAGAGGAGAAGAGAAGCAGGGTGGGAAAAAAGAAACGGGCTGGGTCTCAGACACATCAAAGTCTTCCCCCCTCGGAAACTTCATGTTCATCTCAACGACCATCTGACTGTTCTTGGCAAGCGCTTTGGGGAAAGAGGAGGATGCGAGAGCCAAGTGCCAATATATTGGCACGTAGATCGAGGTACCCAAAAAAGGGAAGAAGTGAAACCCAGAACCACTCAGGGGCTTCCCAATTCTCCCTTCTCACCTTTCACAACAGTAGCCTCCTTCAGGTGATGGGACAAGAAGTCAATGCTGGCGTAGGCGTTGGCAGAGGGCAGCGGGCCAGCGCCTGGCCCCCCACAGACCCCACTGGAGCTGCCGCCACCTACAGCGTTGATGAGACCACCGAGGCTATGGTTCCGGCCCCAGGAGTTCTTGTCTCCTGGCTGCTGCGGCGGCTGCGGCGGCTGCTGCGGCGGGGGTAGCAGCCCAGTCTCCTCCCTCACGTCAATGGCGATGTAGTTGAGACCATTCTGGAAGCCAGCAGAGGTCTCCCTACGCATTGGGGAGACACTGCCCCCAGGGCAGCCTATCAACCCCACGGGCTGACTCTGCGTCCACGGCCTTGGCTGCTGGGGAAGCGATGGCACGGGAAGAGCTGGCTGCGCCTGGTGGGGGGATCTGGGCGGCTCATCTCCCCCTCCAAGGCCCATGCCCACGCCCCCGCTGCCACCATCGCCACTTTTCCTGAGAGAGACGTTTTCCACGGAGGCCGAATTGTGGCGCTTAGGGTTATGGGCGAAGGACGGGGACACAGGGGTCACAGTGGTGGTCGAGGAGAAGGTCTCCGAGCTGTGCCGGCGGCGGCCCCCCTGCGGGTCGGCGCGGATGACCTTGGCACCCCGGTGCGGGTCTGGCGCTTGGCTCGCCTGCAGGAAGGCTTCGACGCCCGACACCTGATCCATGAGGCTCAGCCGCTTCACGCCCGCCGTCGGGCTGGTCACACGGCCACCCTCCGGCTTCGGGGGTGCCGCGATGGGCTGTGGCGGGGTGGCAGCCACCCCAAAGGCCATCTCGGTGTAGTCACCGTTGTCCCCAGTCTCCAAGGACGACGAAGAGGCGGCGCAGGGGCCCGGGGATGTGGCGGCCACCGTCACCGGAGGCAGGCGGTACAGCGCCCCCGGTGGCGGCGGCAGGGGTGGCTGCTGTCGGTGGGAGGAGGCAGAGGAGGGCGAGGCGGAGGGGCGAGGCGGCAGGGGCGGGTAGGGCGAGGAAGCCTCGGGCGAGAGGAGGCCGTCCAACGAGCCCACTGGGTCCCCGCTCTGAGTCCCCGGTTTGGGTGACTTGGGCGAGCTGAAGTCGAGGTTCATGTAGTCGGAGAGAGGGGAGCGTTGCCGGCTGTCGCTGCTCGTCCCGGGGGTGCCGGAGCCCAGCGAGGAGGCTGGGCTGCTGGCTGACAGCAGCGAGGAAGACGAGGCCGCCGAGGCCAGCAGCGGAGGGGCAGGTGGGGAAAGGCGGGCTCCCGCCTCGCCAAAGTCAATGTTGATGTACTCGCCCGGGCTCTTGGGCTCCGGGGGCAAAGGGTACTCGTGCATGCTGGGCAGAGTCTGAAGCCCCTCCAGGGACAGGCGAGTGGGCCGCACCGCCCGGCAGCGCTGGTTCAGGAAACCCTCTGGGCGGCCGCTGCCGCTCTGTCGCATGGGGGAAGGCACTGCTGGGTGGTGAGGTGGGATGTGGCTGCCCCCGCTGGCCCCGAAGGCGCTGGCCGACTGGGTGGTCACTGGGGTGGCCAGCGGCTGCGGACTGGTCTGTTGTTCTTGTCTGTCCTCTTCCAGAATCCGCCCCACTGGGGAGCTCATGAGGACATACTGGTCGTTGTCCCCGTTGCAAGTATAAGGAGCCTTGTAAGAGCGGGGTAGAGAGCTGTAGCAGTAACCAGGGACTCTCTTGAGCGTTTCTCCACCACTGTGCAAGGCAGCTGAGAAGAAGTCAGGTGGGGTACAGGAGGTGCCCGCGTCACTGGGGGACATGTTGAGGTAGTCCCCGTTGGAAAGCAGCTTGCTGTCAGAATTCTCCATGGACAGCTTGGAACCACACCACATGCGCATGTACCTGTTGTCCTCTGGGGAGCCCTCTGCGGGGGAGCTGGTCTTGTAGCTGCCCCCGTTGACCGAGAAGCCTCTTCCAGCTGCAGAGGTTGTTGCTGGCACCCCAGCTCCGGTGGGAGGCAAGGCTGCAGCGGCAACTCGGGGCTGCAGGATCTGCTTGGGAGCAGACACGCTGGTGGGGCTCATGGGCATGTAATCATCAATCTTACAGCTGCCACCACCCATCAGGGGAGCCACACCCGGGGTCATGGGCATGTAGCCATCGTCTGCCCCCACATTGCTGCCAGAGCTTCTGTGGGGACCGCTCTCTACGTCTCCATAGACCTCGGGGTAGGGATGGTAGGCCACTTTGGGGGAGGAGGCGGGGCACGAGGGGCAGAGACGGCCCGAGCTGCCGGAAAAGGTGGCCCGCATCAGAGTGTACTCATCCAGCGACGCGGACGAGGGCTGGGGCACTGCCCGCTGACGGGCAGGTGTGGTCAGGGAGTAAGTCCTCTTCCTCAGCCCTTTGTCCAAGTCCTGAGCGCCGTCCCCTGAGACTCTGCGGTAGGGGCGGCCACAGTGGCTCGGGGGCCTGTCCATGGTCATATACCCATACAGCTCACCCCCGCTGCCCTCTCTGGCAGGAGGAGTCTCTGCGATGGACTCTGGAGTGTTGCTTCTGTGGCTGCAAAAGGCTCGCAAGTCGCCAGGACTAGAGCCGTACTCATCCAGCGATATGAAACCGGGATCGCTGGGGGAGCCCGAGGCAGAGGCACTGCCACTGGAGGGCCGCTGGCCCTGGTGATGGTGCAGAGGGGGCGGTAGGTGCGGGTGCGGGCCTGGAGGCAGCGAGTACGAGCCCGAGCCGTGCCCACTGCTGGACGAGAGACTGCCAGGGCTGGTGGCGGCCGGAGGAGAGTGGGACACGGGCATGGACATGGAGCGGCTGTGTTGCAGGGCGCCCCCTGCCGGCGCCAGCATCACCTTGCTCGGATGGCCGCCGCAGCCGCTGCTCAGGGTGTGCGAGCGGCTCAGAGGCGTCCTCACCGGTCCCGGACTCATGGGGCTCCCAGCCACCGACACGGGCCTGCAGCCCCCTGCCCCCGCCGCGCCCGCGCTGCCGTCCCCCTCGCTGGCCGTGCGCACCCGGCAGGAGTTGCACTTGGCGCCCGCCGCAGCGTTGGCGCTGGCCGCGGCCGGCGGCGTGGCGGCCAGGCTGTCGGTGCGCGAGCGGCGCACCAGGCCCGTCTGGCTGGGGGGCAGGTTGACCAGGTGGTGGTGGCGCCGCGCGCCGGGCACGCTGATGGGGTGCGTGGAGGATGAGCCCGACGACTGGCTCTTGCTGCGCGGCCGGAACTCGAAGAGCTCCTTGAGCGCCTTCATGGCCTCCAGGATGGTCTCGTGGATGTTCTGCGCCACCACCGAGTCGTCGGCCTGCATCCACAGCTCGCCGGGGCCCGTGACGGCCGAGCGGCCCACCTCGATGAAGAAGAAGCTGTCCGAGTGGCCGCAGCGGCGGATGTTCATCAGCTGCAGCGTGACCGACGGCTGCTCGCAGTTGAGCTTCACGAAGCCGATGGTGCGCGCCGACAGGCACAGCCGGTACACGCCCGTCAGGTTCTTGCTCTGCCCCAGGCCCTTGGGCTTCAGGTTCACCTGCCAGACCTCGCGATAGACGGAGGTGGCGGGCGCGACGAGCCCGTAGTTGTCGTCGGCGGCGCCGGCCGAGCCCCCGAAGGCGCCGCTGCCGGGCAGGGAGGCGCTGCAGGACGCGGCGCTGGCG